TTTTTTTTTTTTTTTTTCTTTTGTCTTTTTCCGTGTCCGGCAACGGATCGCAACCCTCAGTGTTGCCCCCGTACCGGACCGGGGACCGGCAACGGGATCGCAACCCTTGGTGTTGCTCCCGCGCCTCGCTCAGCCAGTGAGCGGGAACCGGTCCGTATGTGGGATCCGAACCCTCGGGCGGGAGCGCCGCCGCGCTTCCCAAGCGGCGCACTATCCAGTGCGCCACCAGGCCGGCCCTGCACCTTAAATTTTAAAAGAACAGTACATATTGTTTATGGATACATACATGGTAAAAGTATGAAAATATTCTCCGGAGGGATATTCATCAACTTCAAAATAGCTATTACCTCTGGGCAAGAAAGGGTGAAGGGCTACTTATTTCTCCAAGAAGAAGAAAAAACTAAAGTAGTTAACATTTATTAAATCTGGCAGTGGGTACATAGTAGCTTAATGTGTTTACTTTTTTGTTTGCTTGTTTACTTGAAAAGTTTTCATTTTTAAAAATTCGACTGGGGCCAGGATATAAAAGCTATTGTGTGCCATGATAAATGTTCCGCCCTTTGCCAAGCACTTTGTCCTTTAACCCTTCATAGATAAAACTTTCCCAGTCATTTTGAATTTGTATATTGGTCTGCATCCTGTCACCACCAGATCAAGTAGAAGGGTGACTGATACCTAATATACTATCGTCTTTCCTCTTTCTGTCTTACCCCACCAGTCTCCATAAGAGCTCAACAGTATTTTTTCAGGATCCTTTTTATTAAAATAGAACTATGAAAAAATATATGTATATGTACATGAAACTTTACAGCAAAAATGTGTTTAAGTCTATGACCCAAGTGACTGATTTAGAGTTTTAAAATAAGTCAATTGTTATCTCTTATTTCACATCTTCTCAAAAAATAATAATGATGATAATGTATCCTTTAAGATGTATATAATATTGTTTGCCACTTCAGTTGATAAGTATATAGATAAACAGTCACAAATATCTGTTTTTATCCTCCAGATTTTTTTTAAATTCAGAAATACAACTGTAAACAGTTTTTTAAAATTTACCCACTAATTCCTAACTTGTTAACTGTTTGCATACGATTATTAAGGGCTTTTAATTTTAAAATCAGAAAAATCATGTTGGATGGCCGGCCCAGTGGCGCACTGCTACAGTGCGCCGCTTGGGAGCGTGGTGGCACTCCCGCCGAGGGTTCGGATCCCACATACAGACCGGTTCCCGCTCACTGGCTGAGCGAGGTGTGGGAGCAACACCGAGGGTTGCGATCCCGTTGCCGGTCCCGGTCCGGTATGGGCGCGACACTGAGGGTTGCGATCCGTTGCCGGACACGAAAAAAGACAAAAAGGGGAAAAAAAAAAAAGAAAAGAAAGAAAAATCATGTTGGTAGTTAGGAACTTATTTTGTGGAGAAGAGTAGTGCAAATAGTCAAATCTTACAGATTGTCCCTGGGAGAGATCAGAAGTTTACTTATGTAAATAAACATGGTAGAGTCCCTCCCAGTTGTTGAAGGCTGTTCAGTTGAGTGCTAGGCAACAGGCTTTCCTTCTCTCTTCTCAGGTTCAGAGAATCAAGAAGTTGCTTTTTTGTTATTTATTTATTTTTTTTTTATTTGCAGGCTAAACACTTTTAAGATGAGAAAAGTTGATCTCTGTTTGAGCTCTGAAGGGGCTGAAGTGATTTTAGCTACATCAAGTGATGAAAAACACCCACCTGAAAATATCATTGATGGGTAAGAGTTACTTTACTTTCTTACTTGAAGCCTTACTATTAGGTCAGTGAACTGAGTACTGGAACTATGTATTTTACAACTAGCACTGCTAAACATAGTTTAATAAATGTCTGGTAAACTAGATTATATGATAATATCCACCTTTGGTACCATTCCTGAAACTATTTCAGTTATGTACATTTAGGTTTTTGATCTTTTTCTTTATAATTCCTAAACTGACCTCCTTATACAAATTGGTTTTTTTCAGAAGTGGTTAACTGAGGTAAAAACCCAAATAACAACTGCTTCATTTTATGGAAGTGTACATTTTAATATCTGGTTATGGTTTTATTCCAAGTTTTTCTTGGAAATAGGAACACAAACATTGTAACTTCCTGTCTACTGCATATTTCCTTACTAATCTAGATAACATCTTTGCTGAACTGAATGCTTTACTTTCTGCTCTCCTACTGCATTGTTTGCTTCTACCCTTCTTGATATCATTCCAATTTCCACTCTTCACTGTGCTAGACTTCATTCTAGGTAGAGATAAATGTTATTCTCAGACTTTTAATTCCAAGAAAAAGTAGTTAATGGGAGAATTTTTTTTAATAGATATGGCTTATTTTCTTATTCTCTTGAGTTCTTTTTCTTGATATCTATACAATGATCAGAGTTTGATGCATAGAATCTTATAATTTTAGAGCTGGAAGGACTATGAGTTTGTATTAGTCCATTTTTGTTGCTTATAACAAAATACCTGAAAATGAAATTTATTGCTTACAGTTTCAGAGGCTAGGAAGTCCAAAGTCCAGGGAACACATCTGGTGAGGGTCTTGGTGGTGGCAACAGTGACCCAGGGGTCTCACATTGCAAGATGGTGGAAGCAGAGAGAGCAGAGAGAAAGCATCTCCTCTTTTTTTAAAGCCCTCAGAACCACGCCCCTGACCACCATTTTTAATTCATTCACTACTGCAGGGTCCGGCAATCCAATCACCTCTTTAAGGCTCTACCTTTCAATTACCGTGATAGGATTTCCCACACTCTTAACAGTCACAGTGGATGCTAAGCTAGTACATAAAACTTAGGGACACAATTCAAGCTTCAGTGAGTTTTGGGGGGACATAATTCAATCCACTACAGAGTTCATCTTGTCTAAACCCTTTATTTTAGACTTGTGGTAAGAGAGGTCTAAAGTGGTTAAGTACTTGTTTTAATTATTGGAAGCAGAGCCAGTTGTAACATGGAGGTTATGTGATTCTTTGTGTTCTATTGTTAAGCCCATGTGTCTGAATAAAATTCTAGTAACTCAACCTCTTCCTTTAAGCCTAGTTGTTATTTCCTTTCTGATATATGCCCTTTTCAGGTAGTTTATCTCCTTGCTAGGCTTCAATAGCATTTAGTATATACCTCTATTACCTTACTTATTCCTTTATTGTGTAATTTTTTATTTTTAATGTTAGTCTCCTTCAACTGTGAATTCCTAGAAGTCAGAGACTATGTCTTGTTCGTCTTTGACTCCACAGTGTCTTGAAATATTTGTTGAGTAGGTTGTTGAATTAAACCATCAAATATTAGTCAAACTCCACTAATGTAAGGCTACTTCAAAAAGTTAATAGAGGGCCGACCCTGTGACGCACTCGGGAGAGTGTGGCGCTGGGAGCGCAGTGATGCTCCCGCTGCTGGTTCGGATCCTATATAGGAATGGCCGGTGCACTCACTGGCTGAGCGCGGTGCAGGCGACACCACACCAAGGGTTGCTATCCCCTTACGGGTCACAAAAAAGACAAAAAAAAAAAAGTTAATAGAAATATTCATATTATCTTTTAATTCTATTTTTCCGTGAACTTTTGAAGTACCCTTGTACTGGAAAATGCCAGTGTGTGTGTATGTATGTGTGTGTGTGTGTGTGTGTGTGTGTGTGTGTATATATATGTGCATGTGTACATACACACACACCTTTCATATAAACACATACATGTGTGTGGATATACTACTGTACATTTGCATAGGGTTTTATAGTTTCATAGATACTATATTACTTTACCCTCACAGTAAGCTTGGGGAATAAGAAGCACAAAAAGTATCTTCAGCCCTATTGTAAAGATGAGGAAAAGGGTTATCAGAGGTAAAGTAGCTGCTCAAATCATGCAAATAAGCAAGTGGCAGAATCCACTAACACTTATATCTTCTATCTCCTAGTTCATGGTTCTTTGTACCATATGCTATGATGACTCAAAATTAAGATTTGAATCAAAAATTTAATATCTGCTTTTTGCCTGTATCTCTTCTTAGTTCTTCTCAGTTGTTTACTTCCCAAAATTCAGTTAATATTTATTTATCCCACTCTGACTCACAGTAGAAAAATTAATGTGGGAGCAGCTGTGAGAACACTCAGAACTATAGAGATTTGCCTTAAGTTGTTTGCTTAAATAGAAATAGAGATTTTTCCAGAAACACTCCTTGTATCTGATTAGAGATGGATCAGCTTTCCAAGGCAAGATCAATTTGCCTTCTACTCCTTTGGTGACCTTTTTCTCAAAGGAATACGTTTCTAGATCATTAGGATTAGTTGTCATATGTAGCAGATAGTTGTTTTAGAGCAACTTTTGCCTACAAAAGTTGACTCAAGATCATTTCAAGAGATATGTCCTTGGATTCTCTTACTTGTGTTTGAAGGTCTCTGTGAATCCTCCCCAGCGTCAAATATGCATACTTGTGTGTGTGTGCATGTGTATGTACACTCATGTGTGTAACCATATGAAATAATTTATTTTTCTTCATTCAAATAAAAACTGATGCTCAAAAAAAGGAATATTAATTGTAGCGGACTGAATAAAGTCCCCCTAAAACTCACTGAAGCTTGAATTGTGTCCCCCAAGTTTTATGTATTAGAAACTTTGCCCTCACTGTGACTGTTAAGAGCGTGGGAAATCCTATTATGGTAACTGAAAGGTGGAGCTTTGAAGAGGTGATTGGATTGTAGGACCATGCAGTAGTAAATGGATTAAAAATGGTGGTCAGGGGTGTGGTTCTGAGGGCTTTAAAAGAAGAGCAGAATCAGTCTTTCTCAGCTCTTTCTGCTTCCACCATTTTGTGATGTGAGACCCCTCGGTCACTGTTGCCACCACCAGATGGACTTTGGACTTCCAAGCCTCAGAAACTGTAAGCAATAAATTTTGTTTTCCTTATAAATTACCCAGTTTCATGTATTTTGTTATAAGCAACACAAACGGACTAATACAATGTGTTACTTTGAGCAAAGAGTATACAAGGGTACTTTAAAAAGTTCGTGGAAAGATTTGTATTATATTTTAATTCTATTTTTCCCTGAACTATTTGAAGTCATATATGTTGCTGTTTGAGCCTAAGTTACTAGTCTGTAAAATGGGGATAATACCACCTTTCCTGCCCACCTCAGAGTTGTGAAAAAAACACATGAAATAATAGATGTAAAACAATAGTTAGCTATAAATCCTTATTATAAATAAAATTACAGTCGTGCATCACTTAACAACAGGGATGTGTTCTGAGAAATGCACCATTAGGCACATGTTGTAGCCTATTGCTCATATATACATTCCATCGTTGACCAAAACATCATTCTGCAGCTCATGACTGTATCTTGATGACTTCCTTATACCTAATTATGAGGATACAGTTATAGGTAATTTTAAAATTCAAGTGCAGGCTGGCCAGTTAGCTCAGTTGGTTCAGAGTGTAGCCTTGTAACACAAAGATCATGGGTTCAGATCCCCATACTGGCCAGCCACACACACACACAAAAGAACTCAAAATCAAAGTGTGTATCTACATAATATTTGATATTATTACATTGGTCATATTCATTGAAAGTGAAGGAAAATTGTTCCTAAGGAAGAACATAGTGCAATTAAATTTTAATTTATTTAAATAAATAAAACTTAAAACCATATAAATAAATGGAAATTGTGAAATTTAAGTATAGTGTTAAAAAACCCATAATTGTGAATTAGGAGACCTTGCTTTTTTGTGTCTAACAACTTTATTGACATTATTTACATACCATACAATTCATCCATTTAAAGTGTACAATTCAGGGGCCGGCCCGGTGGCGCACTGGATAAGTGCGCCGCTTGGGAAGCGTGGCGGCGCTCCCGCCCAAGGGTTCGGATCCCACATACAGACCGGTTCCCGCTCACTGGCTGAGCGAGGCGCGGGAGCGACACCGAGGGTTGCAATCCCGTTGCCGGTCCCCGGTCTGGTGCAGGGGCAACACTGAGGGTTGCGATCCGTTGCCGGACACGGAAAAAGACAAAAAAAAAAAAAAAGTGTACAATTCAGTGGCTTCCAGCATATTCAGAGTTATGCAACCATCTCCACAGTCAATTTTAGAACATTTTTATCACACCAAAAAGAAACTGTACCTGTTAGAAGTCACCGTGTAGTGCCCCATCCCCACTAGCCCTAGGAAACCATTAATCTACTTCCTATTTTTGTAGATTTTTACCTATTTAGACATTTCATATAAATGGAATCATACATATGTGGTCTTTTCTGACTGGCTTCTTTCAGTTACATGTTTTCAAAATTCATCCATTTTGTTGTACATATCAGTGCTTCATTTCTTTTTATTGCCAAATGATATTCCATTGTATGGATATAATACATTTTATTTATCTGTTCATCATTTGATGGACATCTGGGTCTTTTCTACTTTTTGGCTGAATTTTCCCCAATTTTATTTTAAAAATACCCAACTCACAGATCTAAAAAACTCAGGAAACCCTGGGCTGAACAAATACAAAGAGACCATATTATAGTCAAACTGCTGTAAAAGAAAGAGAAAGAAAAAAAAATTAAATAGCTGGAGGGGGAAAAATACGTTATATATGGGGGAACAATAGTACTCATGACAGCTGATTTTGCATCACAAACAGTGGAAGCCAGGGAACAATGGAATAATATCTTTTAAATACTGGGGGGAAAAAGAAACAAATTTTCTTTTAAAAGCAAAAAAACTGTCAACCCAGAATTCTGTA